CGTGTGCGCGTGTATGCGCCCCCCCACCGGCGGCCAGGTGGCGCCCCGGCCGAGTGGCCAACTCTCGCGACCGTCAAGAGCCGGCTCTCCCCCCGGCCGCCAGGGCACCGCCCCCCCCCCCCCCCCGGCCGGGGCGGCGCCCCATGCAGTTTCGACGCCCGGCTGGTGTACCTGCCGGCGTTGGTGGTGTCCCTGGCCGAGGAGCGCATCACCACCGGGCACTATGGGGATTTCGACGGGGCATCGGCCCGGCAATTGCGCCTCCGCGGAGGCCTCCTGCTGGAGGCCATGCTGCGCAGTGTGTGGAAGGCCGGCGGCGATGGGGCTGACAGCCCGGGGGACCGGCTGCTGGCGGCGCTGGCCGGGCACCTGTTCTGGACGCTGGGCGTGGGGCCCGGCCCGGCGCCGGGGCCCCCGGCATCGGCGGAGGCCCTGCACGGGGCCCTGTGCCTGCTGCTGGCCCTGATGCCGCACCTGCTGGCCCGGTATCGGCTGGCCCCGGGGGAGGTGGCCTTCCTGGCGGTGATGGGGTGCGATTCTTTTGCCCCGGGGCTGCTCCGACAGACGGCGGCCCTGCTGCTGGCCGAGGGCCCGGCCGGGGCGGCGATGGCACTGGCTGCGCGTCGGTCGCCAGCCCTTGCGCGGCTTTGGGACCTGGTCCCGGCGCCGGTCCTGGGCCTGGCATGCCGTGTGCTGGAGTTCCTGCAGTTGGCCCCGTCCGAGCCGGTGGCGGGTCCCTTGGCAGGGGCCCAGCAGTTCGAGGACTTTGCTCGGGCGGCCGACTGGCCGGCGTGGGCGGTGCTCGTCGGAGCGGCGGGGATCTTGCGCGCCGGGCGGCCGGCGGCCGAGGCCGCCTCGATCTCCAACCTGACGGCCTTCCTGTGGGGCGCCGGTGACCCGCTGGCGGTCCAGCCACCCGCCCTGGCCACCGAGGAGGAGGAGGAGGAGCAGGAGGAGGGCATCCCGGGCCCGGGGGCCGCGCCATGCCTGGCCCAGGCGGCACCCCTGAGGGCGGCCTTCCCCACTGGGGCCTTTGTGTTGGGGCTGTTTGCGCGGCCGGGGTCCGCCGAGACGCCCGGCGATGAGGCGGCCTTTGCACTGGCCCGACAGGCGGACTCGGTGGCTGTGGCAGCCACTGCGGCGGGGGTCGACCCGCCGGCGGCCGAGAGCTGGTTCGCGCCGGAAGCGGCCCCGGCGTCGGAGGCCGTACGCCTGCTTCGGCGGTTGGCCGACCTGCCGGTGGCCAGCCAGCCGGTGGTGGCCTGCCTCCGTGGGTTGTTGGATGGCTTTTGCAGCGTGGCCCCTGGGTTCGCATCGCCCTACCGCCAGGCGAGCCCGGCACTGGCGCGAGTGGCCCGCGTGGCGCCCGGCTCCTCGCCGGCTGACCTGTGGTCCGTCCTGCCGGCCATGGTGGCCGGATGCTGGCCGGCGGTGTCCCGGCACCTGGCAGCCGACCAGGCCGGCCTTGACCATCGGGTGCTGGCCCGGGCCTTCGGGCTGTTCAGCTCGGCGACGGTACGTGAGCGCCTGCACGCGCTGGTGCCCTTCCACGCGCTTGCGATGCATGTCATCGGGCACTGGCACATCCATGCACGCAGGCGCGCGGGCACGGCCGCGCATCTTCAAGCACACGGCCAGCCGGCCGGCCCTGCCCCCGAGACTGACATGATCGACCCCCGTGCCCCCCCCCCCCCCCCCGGGCCCCGGCATGCACAGGCGACAGCATTGACCAAGCGGAACTTCTATTTCGCCCTCGGGACCATCCTGGCATCGACCGATGCCGCGGGCATCTGCTCGATCCCACTGCCGGAGGCGGTCGGCAATGGCGGCCCGCCGGAGGCCCGACTCGCCCGGCTCCTGGCCCAGGGGCTGATGGATTTCTCCAGCACCCAGACACAGGGCGATGTCGGGTCGTGGGTGCGGGCGGCGGCCGCCGCGGCGGCGATCCCCCTGCTGGACCGGGTACTCGGCGGTGGCCCGACAGTTCCGGAGTCTGTGGCCCCGGCCGCGGCGCAACTGATCCGGGCCCTACTACTGACATGTGTCGACACGGTGGACCGGGTTCGACTGAGTGCCTTGCGGGCTGTGCGGCGCGCCCTGTCCCTGGTGGGGGTGGTTCCGCTGACGGAGGCGCCGGCCGGCCGCGTGCCGGCCGAGGTGCTGACTGCCATCGTGCACCTGCTGGGGGCCCTGGTAGATCGGGTGCCCATTTTGCCGGGAGACCTGGCCGGAGCTGTGGCCGGCGGCCCGGGAGGCGTGCCCGCGCCGGACCTGGCCACTGTGTGGCATCTGGCCGCGCGCGGGGCCATGGTGCGAGCCCTCACCCGGGCGCCGGGGTGCCCAGTTCGCAAGGCGGTGGTCGCGCGCCTGGCCGAGCCGCAGGCCGGGTCCACCCGGACCAGCATCTGGTTGGCGGCGGTCCGGCATCCGGCGGCGACACATGCGTTGGCCGCGGCGGCCTTGACCCCGGACCACCCGGCCAAGACGGTCCCCCTGTTGGGGGATGTACTGGCCGAGCAGCTGGTGCCCGGGGCGAGCCCAGCGAGCCCCTCGGCATGGGCGGAGCTGGCCCAGCGCGGAGCAGCCCTGGCCATGTTGGCCGGGCTGCTGTGGGCGGCCGGCGGCCCGACGGGCCAGGCCCGGGCGTCAGCCTATGTCGGGCGCTGCTTGACGCTGTCGGCCAGCATGCTGCGAGATGGGGACGCCCCGGTGGAGCCCTGCCGGCAGGTGGTGCTTGCCGTGGCGGCGGTGGCCTTGCCGGCGTTTACCACCACCACCACCACCACCCCGGCGGGCATGGTGCCGGAGGGGGATCTGCTCGGCGCGCTGGCCGCCCTGCACCGGGGTCTGCTGGAGGCGGACAGTCACCGGGCCCGGCCGGGCAGTGGCTCGGCTCTGGCAGATGCTTTGGACGAGCGCCGGCGTTTGGCGGACCAGGCAGCCGCTCTGGCCGAGCTGCTCGGTGGCTGACTGGCGGCGCGCGAAGCCGCAGCAGGACGTCCTCGGTGTGGTGGAAGGCGGTGGGCGGGGGGGGG